AGGGAACATTGGGTAGAAGTGATCAGATTGGGAACATTGAGTTAAAGCATATGTATTGGAGTGGATTGTGGACATTGCGGTGGGAGTGTATTGTGGACATTAGGCATGAGCGGATGGGGGGCATTGGGTGGGAGCAGATTGGGCACATTGGGTGGGAGCAGATTGGGCACATTGGGGGGGAGCAGAGGGCATTGGGGGAGCACATTGGGTGGGAGCAGATTGGGCACATTGGGTGGGAGCAGATGGGGGACATTGGGTGGGAGCAGATTGGGCACATTGGGTGGGAGCAGATGGGGGGCATTGGGTGGGAGCAGATTGGGCACATTGGGTGGGAGCAGATGGGGGGCATTGGGTGGGAGCAGATTGGGCACATTGGGTGGGAGCAGATGGGGGGCATTGGGTGGGAGCAGATTGGGCACATTGGGTGGGAGCAGATGGGGGGCATTGGGTGGGAGCAGATTGGGCACATTGGGTGGGAGCAGATGGGGGGCATTGGGTGGGAGTAGATTGGGCACATTGGGTGGGAGCAGATGGGGGCATTGGGTGGGAGCAGATGGGGGACACCGGGTGGGAGGGATGAGTTGAGTTTTCAGATTTTGATTAGAGATAGGCTTTTATTTCCAATAAACCTGAAACCTTTAAAAGTCCCTATCAGCATTCTTTTGTGCATAGTGATGAGTCTCTCAGCATAAAGATTGTGTCACCCAGTTATTCAGCTTGTAAATTAACTAGTCTCCATGACAACTCTATTTAGGACAAGATACATTTGCCGTAAGAACAACTTTGAAATTAATTCCGTAATCAGGTAACCAGGGAGCAAACAGTGAATCATTAATAATGTCACAACAGTTTGAATGGCAAAATAAAATATTAGCAAACACCACAGATTTGAATTCAATGTACGAATGTCTCCAGCTCATAAGCTGATACAACCCTATAAAATATACCAATATACTAGAAAAACGCACAGGCCATAGAGGTGGCAGTTTTTTTTTTTGTTTGTTTTCAAATTAAACATACAAAGGCCAATCCACCAGTAAAAAGATGGGGGCGGATGGTAAAAACATTTGGTCCCTTATATCTCTCCAAGTCACTCTCATCGCAATTCAGCTCAACATCCCATGATTATTATTATATATGGAAGAGTGCAACAGCAGGAGCAGGGGGAAGAGCCTCCAACGCCTAGGGGTGGATTCCTCCAATGAGGGGGTAACGGCTGAGTCAGTCTTTCAACATCCAATCAAGATTGAAATGTCATTATTGGGTGTATATAGTTCTAGTTTTCTTGTTTGGTTTGGATAGGAAGCGGAAGAGTTGGGACCTCTGTCATTTTAATTGTTACCATCGGGAAGGATTTGCCTTCACTCCTGTCCCCATGATGATGGTTGATGAGACAAGAAGTGAGGACAACCTCTTCAGAAATGATTTGCATAGCAGAGTATGCTTCAGTATTTCGAGTCACTGACCCAGAAAATGGGTAAAATAAGTTGCCAGCCCCCCGACAAGCTTGTTTCAAAGTGCAAAGCTCTTTATTCTTCTGTGATCACATAGAAAAGCAATATTTCAGGACTGCCCAAGGATCCTTCAGAGTCCCTGCATAGTCAAAAAAACTTTGTTTTCTTGAATGATATACTAAAGAGTAACTCTACTTTTGTTGAGGAAAAAACACTCCCCTCTGGGCGATCAATGTACATTACAGGGATTTTATAACCCATCAGATTATCACCTACTCTCCTCTCCTTTAGGCGCACCGTGAAAACCCATCTCTTCAGGGAAGCCTACCCCACCCCCTGCTAACTTGCTGACCTCCTCCACTCTTCCTACCACTCCATCCCCCACAGCTATCTCCTCCTGTGCCACCACCCCCTCCCTCCTAGATTGTAAACTCCAAAGAGCAGGGCCCTCGATCCCCTCATGTTTTGCATTGTATTGGTATTGTTCTGTCACATGTTCTGTCCCCCTTTGTAATGTACAGCGCTGAGCGAACTATTGGCGCTTTATAAATACTGTATAATAATAATAATATAACAAACTTTGCAGCAGATTTTTTAGCATGGCCTTTACGGACTGATTCTGAATGGGAGGATCTGGTTGATTAAGGGGTGGACTGACCATTCGTGCACTTGGGCACTGCCCGAGGGCTCAGGGTCGGTAGGGGGCCCCATGAAATGCCCCTGATACCTTTTTTATAGGCTTTTTTGGGTGTGCTTTGAGTGTGGGGCAAGGACACAGGGGCACCATGATCCCCTATTGCCCAGGGGCCCCATGAGTTGTCAATCCGCCCCTGGGTTCATTATAATCACCTGGTGCACTCTCAGTGTTCTAATGAGGAAAGTTGCAGGGTCTGCCTCCCTTAACCTCCCTTTCGGTCTGATTATGTCAGTATTTCTGTGCTCAAAGCGGTACATTTTTTTGCATGGAAATATGTTGGTTTTTTATTGTAGGCCTGTAATTCTTAGGAATAACTCACTGAAATCTGTCCGAACAAGAGTCTAGTAAACATCCCGGGGATGATAACGGTTTAAACACGAAATCATAAATTATAATATAATAAATAATCATAAAAATAATAATATAATAATAATAAATTTAATTCAATAATATAAGCAAACCAAAAACACTGAAATGTGAAATAGAGCGCCAAGTTCGCACATCGCTGAGCAAAGTCACAGAATCGTTTTCAGTGTCTGATGAGGAATTTCCCCCACGAATCATTATCACTCAATTCTGCAAGTGTTTCTGATTTACTATCGCTGTTCTCTAGCCGGTCTAAAACCGCGTCTGACCTAAACGGACGCTTTTTGGACGCCATGGACGTTTCTCAGTTTCCAGGCAGAAAGAACAGTAAAAATGCAGGCAGGGCGCCGGACAAGCACTCGGGACAAAATGTATGTGAAATGGTTTGATACAGGAATGTTATACTATGTGATTTTAGTGTATTTAGTGAATGTCATATTTTTACATTTTTGAATTTCCCGCCGTTTCGTCCCCCGTATGTCCCGACGTCGCGGGGACCAGAACCCGGAAGACAGATGCCAGCGTCGGCCGGAGGACATTACAGGGGACACTGCAGGGGGGACATCGCGGGAGCGCAGGACAAGGTAAGTGAAGAAGAGATCCCGGAGCAACGCTGCAGTGTATTCCCGAGTGTAGCTCGGGGGGGGGGGGGGGGTTACCGCTTGTGGTGCTGAAACTTTACCCCGAGCTACACTCGGGAATACCGTCAGGGGGGTTAAAGTAGAACTACAGGCAAAACTTTTTTTTTTCCTTTTGGCTAGAGTAATGCAAGCCATAGACGGGTTGAAAACTGGCCGTTTAAAAAAAAACAAAAACGAAAAATCGGTCGTTCAATAGGCCGACGTTACCAGCAACGGTCTACAGCCGGCATTTAATTACTTCTGTCCCTGCAGAGAGCTCCGCTATTATATTTGACATGAAAAAGTATTGCGGTTGCAACAATGTATCCATTTGTATCCATTTCGGATACAGATGTTTTTATTCGGATACAAATAGATACATTGTTGCAACCGCAATACTTTTTAATGTCAAATATAATAGCGGACTGGAATTCTTCTTTCTCTTCTTCTTTTTTTTTTTTTTTTTTTACTTCTTTTTCTTCTTCTTTTTCTACTTCTTGCAGGTCACGGCTCATGCACAGATTTTTTATCGGTAAAACGATCGGCCCGATTTGCCCATCATTGCTGGGAAAATTGGCTGATTGGCAAATTCGGCTGAAATTTTTTCCAACTTTACCGATAAAAAAAATGTGCCAAAACCCCAAAGAATGACCGACCAATTAACCCACTAATGGTGCAAAAATCGGCTGATTTTTTTTTAGGCCGAAAACGACTGATTTTCGACCCGTTTTAGGCCTGCATAAGGCCTCATACACAAGGGACGTTTTTTACTGCGGCTGTTTTTGGCGTTTTTTTTTTTCTCTGCAGCCAGTAAATCCCTCCAGCATGTTATCCTCAGTGTCCATAAAAACATAGTCTGGAATCAACGTTTTTTGGCTGGAAAAAAAAAACACCCCAGAACTAGTGGGTTTCTAAAGCAGGTTTTTTAGCTGTCAAAATGCTCTAACGCTAAAAAACGCTGCAAACCGCCGTTTTTGGACTTTTTTTGGCCATACATTTTTTTTTGAGGGGGAAAAAAGACATTAAAAAATCAGATGCGGAAAAATGTGGAAAAATACTGCTAATTGGTAATGCGAAAACGCTAAAAAAAGCTGAAAAACTCAGTTTTTTAACGTGGCCTAGGCAATAGGTCATGTGATCTTTCATGGCAAAGCTGCAGAGCCCTGTCTAAGTCCTCATGCACACGGAACGTTTTTACAGCGGCTGTTTTTGGCTTTTGATGTTTTTTTCTACAGCCAGTAATCCCCCCCAGCATAATATCAACCCGTCTATGGCCTGCAAAAGGCTCTATTCACATGACAAGTCGGAGCCCATGTATTTCAATGGAAGGCTTTTAAATCTATGGGGTTGATTTACTAAAGGCAAAAAGACTGTGCACTTTGCAAAGTGCAACTGTACTATACAAGTGTAATTGCCGCAGAGCTTAGTAAATGAGACGAAGCTTCCCTTTGCCAAGAATACCCAATCACATGCAGGGAAATTTTTAAAAAACAGTTTTTTGCTGGCACCTGATTGGATGATGGAAGTCAGCAGAGCTTCTGCCCATTTACTAAGCTCTGGAGCAACTGCACCTGCAAAGTGCACAGTTTATTTGCCTTTAGTAAATCAACCCCTATGTGTCTTTAACCACTTCCAGTCCAGCCCATGTCGATAAACGGCTGGACGGGAGCGCTGCCGATGCGGGTGGACGTTGCTAAGCATCCATTGCCTGTGCGCGCTCCTCTGGACACAGTGGAATGCCGATCGCTGTACGGGACCTCTGTGTGAGGTCCCAATCATGTGATCACTGATTGGCCAATCAGAGATCACATGAATAGTTGTAAGCAAGATGTCACTTCTGACATTGCTTATTTTGTGTGAAATCTGTGAATGATCACAGAGATCACATGGTACAGGGCCATTGTACCATGTGACAAGCTGTGACCAATCACAGCTCTCACAGTATTTCTGAATGGCTGCAGGAATGCAGCCAGAGAGAAGGAGAAATGATTGCTTTTACAGCCTTTATGGGTGTAAAAGCAATAAGTGTAAAAAAAGAAAAAAAAAAATCTCCATCGCCCCCCACAAATAGTACAGTGTCACTATGGTGACAGTATGTTAAAAAAAAAACAAATAAATAATAATATAAAAAAATAAAATAAAAATTAAAAAAATGTTCTTGAAAAATTATAATTTTTGGTTATAAACTAATTTTGTTTTTTTTTTCTTTTTTAATAAAAAGGTGAAAACATTTTGGCCAAGATTTATGAAGAAAGATTATTTATTTGCAAAATTTTATAAGAAAAACATTTTTTTCTCAAAACTTTTGGTCTTTTCCATTTATATAGCAAAAAAATAAAAATCCCCATGGTGAATAAATACCACCAAAAGAAATCTCTATCTGTCTAAAAAAAATGCTACAAATTTCATATGGGTACAGTGTTGCATGACCGCGCAATTGTCATTCAAAATGTGATAGCGCTGAAAGCTGAAAACTGGCCTAGACTGGAAGGGGGTGAAAGTGTCTGGACTGGAAGGGGGTGAAAGTGACCGGACTAGAAGAGGGTGAAAGTGTCAAGACTGGAAGGAGGTGAAAGTCTCCGGACTGGAAGGGGTGTGAAAGTGTCCGGACTGGAAGGGGGTGAAAGTGTCCGGACTGGAAGGGGGGTGAAAGTGAAAGTCTCCGGACTGGAAGGGGGGGAAAGTGTCCGGACTGGAAGGGGGTGAAAGTGTCCGGACTGGAAGGGGGGGAAAGTGTCCGGACTGGAAGGGGGGGAAAGTGTCCGGACTGGAGGGGGTGAAAGTGTCCGGACTGGAAGTGGTTAAGTCGCAGCAACTATAAAAATGTTCCCTCACTACTTTGATGTGACTTTCATGTGACTTGAGTGCCATAGACTGCAATGTAACCTCTCAAAAGTGGCATGAAAGTCGGATCTTAACCCCTTCATGCCGGCACCTCCCGGCCCTTTAAGGGTTCCAGAAGGCGTGAGGCGGGGTTTAGAGTCATGTGACCGCCAGACGCGCCACGCGGTGGCCACATGATCTGGAAAGGTCTCGATTGAAAGAGGAGATCGGGACCTTTCTGTGAGTACCGGACATGTGTGCTCGGAGCTCTCAGCACATATGTTCTTTTTTAATAAAACGCAAATGTGCGGCTGCTCGACGTCTAGGCCCAGACACCGGGAGGCCGCACATTTGTGTGAAGAGGTTAATGTTGTCAGTGGGACAGTTGTGCAACGGTTAAAGACAAAGTCAACAGCCAAAGTCGCACCCAAGTTGATCTCATCCAAAGTTGCATCAAAGTCACAATGGAAATCGCATGACTTTGGAGTCAAACAAGTGTAAATGGAGCCTAATGGAGGGTTATAACCCCCTGTTGGTTTATTTTTTGCCATCTGTATCCCATTGGGGAGATTTTCCTTCACTTCCTGTCCCGAAGCTAAAACAGGAAGTGAGAGGAAATGCTTGAAAATTAAGGGAATCCATTAGGGACCCACCAGTGTCCCCATTGGAAGATTTCCCCTCTATTACTGTTCTGGAGACAACGCAAAATATGTGATTTTCATATACTTTCACTTTCTATGCTAATGGTAAACAGGACAAATAGAGAGGGTGAATCTCCCTGATGGGGGCACAGACATCAATAAAAACCTGACAGGGGTTCTAATCCCGCTCCACTCCATCCAAAACTACAAAAATAAAAAAAAGTTATGCCTTTAGGTACACTTTAACCCCTCACCCTCCTGAAGATTCCCCCCCCCCCCCCCTTCCCTTCCTGACCAGGCCATTTTTTGCATTATGGCACTGACAATTGCACCGTCATGCAACGCTGCACCCAAATGAAATTGATGTCCTTTTTCCCCCACGAATAGAACTTCCTTCGGTGGTATTTGATTGCCTGTGCATTTTTATTTTTTTGCGCTATAAAAAGAAAAAAAGTTCGACAATTTTGAGAAAAAAAAAAACAATATTTTTTTTACTTTTTGCTATTAACCAGTTCCTACCGCGCTATGGCTGAAGGATGAATACAGTGCGGTTGTCTGATTGTGGGATGACATCTATGGACTTCATTCCAGAACACGCCCCCTGGGCACCCCCAGCAGCACGCACCCCACACCGCCGGTAATCGCTGTGTCATACAGACACAGCTGACTACGTGATATGGTAAACGGCCAATCATGGCAGCCTTTTACCACGTGATCAGCTGCGTCCAATGACACAGCAATCACCAGTAAATACAGTTGCTGGTTATCGGCTGCACTTTCCTCACACTGTCACAGCTTGAGGAACGTACTGCCGATAACCGGCAATTGTGCGAGAAGTGAATCGGAACTGATCATCAGGGCACTGATGATCAGTGCCCAGCAGTGCTGCCCATCTGTGCCACCTACCTGTACCCATCAGTGCCACCCACCTGTACCCATCAGTGCCACCCACCTGTGCCCTGCAGTGTCACCCACTTGTACCTAGAAGTGCCACCCACCTGTGCCCAGCAGTGCCACCCACCTGTACCTAGAAGCGCCACCCACCTGTGCCCAACAGTGTCACCTACCTGTACCTAGCAGTACCACCCCCCTGTACCTAGCAGTGCCACCCACCTGTACCTAGAAGTGCCACCCACCTGTGCCCAGCAGTGTCACCCACCTGTACCTAGCAGTACCACCCACCTGTACCTAGCAGTGTCACCCACCTGTGCCCAGCAGTGTCACCTACCTGTACCTAGCAGTACCACTCACCTGTACCTAGCAGTGCCATCCACCTGTGCCCAGCAGTACCACCCACCTGTGCCCAGCAGTGTCACCCACCTGTGCCCAGCAGTACCACCCACATGTACCTAGAAGTGCCACCCACCTGTGCCCAGCAGTGCCACTCACCTGTGCCCAGCAGTGCCACCAACCTGTACCTAGAAGTGCCACCCACCTGTGCCCAGCAGTGCCACCCATCTGTGCCCAGCAGTACCACCCACCTGTGCCCAGCAATGCCACCTACCTGTACCTAGCAGTACCACCCACCTGTGCCCAGCAGTGCCACCCAGCTGGACCCAGTAGTGCCACCTACCTGTGCCCAGCAGTACCACCCACCTGTGCCCAGCAGTGCCACCCACCTGTACCTAGCAGTACCACCCACCTGTGCCCAGCAGTGCCACCCAGCTGGACCCAGTAGTGCCACCTACCTGTGCCCAGCAGTACCACCCACCTGTGCCCAGCAGTGCCACCCACCTGTACCTAGCAGTACCATCCACCTGTGCCCAGCAGTGCCACCACCTGTACCCAGAAGTGCCACCCATCTGAACCTAGCAGTGCCACCCACCTGTGCCCAGCAGTACCACCCACCTGTACCTAGAAGTGCCACCCACCTGTGCCCAGCAGTGCCACCCACCTGTACCTAGAAGTGCCACCCACCTGTGCCCAGCAGTGCCACCCACCTGTACCTAGAAGCGCCACCCACCTGTGCCCAGCAGTGTCACCTACCTGTACCTAGCAGTACCACCCCCCTGTACCTAGCAGTGCCACCCACCTGTACCTAGAAGTGCCACCCACCTGTGCCCAGCAGTGCCACCCACCTGTACCTAGAAGTGCCACCCACCTGTGCCAGCAGTGCCACCCACCTGTACCTAGAAGCGCCACCCACCTGTGCCCAGCAGTGTCACCTACCTGTACCTAGCAGTACCACCCCCCCTGTACCTAGCAGTGCCACCCACCTGTACCTAGAAGTGCCACCCACCTGTGGCCAGCAGTGTCACCCACCTGTACCTAGCAGTACCACCCACCTGTACCTAGCAGTGTCACCCACCTGTGCCCAGCAGTGTCACCTACCTGTACCTAGCAGTACCACTCACCTGTACCTAGCAGTGCCATCCACCTGTGCCCAGCAGTACCACCCACCTGTGCCCAGCAGTGTCACCCACCTGTGCCCAGCAGTACCACCCACATGTACCTAGAAGTGCCACCCACCTGTGCCCAGCAGTGCCACCCACCTGTGCCCAGCAGTGCCACCAACCTGTACCTAGAAGTGCCACCCACCTGTGCCCAGCAGTGCCACCCATCTGTGCCCAGCAGTACCACCCACCTGTGCCCAGCAATGCCACCTACCTGTACCTAGCAGTACCACCCACCTGTGCCCAGCAGTGCCACCCAGCTGGACCCAGTAGTGCCACCTACCTGTGCCCAGCAGTACCACCCACCTCTGCCCAGCAGTGCCACCCACCTGTACCTAGCAGTACCATCCACCTGTGCCCAGCAGTGCCACCCACCTGTACCCAGAAGTGCCACCCATCTGAACCTAGCAGTGCCACCCACCTGTGTCCAGCAGTACCACCCATCTGTGCCCAGCAGTGCCACCCACCTGTACCTAGAAGTGCCACCCACCTGTGCCCAGCAGTGCCACCCATCAGTGGTGCCCAGCAGTGCCACCCATCAGTGCTGCCCATCAGTGTTGCCTATCAGTGCAGCATCATAAGTGCCAGCTCATCAGTGTTGCCTATCAATGCCTCCTATCAGTGCCTCCTATCCGGGCCCATCAGTGCTGCCTATCATTGTCCATCAGTGCTGCCTATCATTGTCCATCAGTGCTGCCTATCATTGTCCATCAGTGCTGCCTATCATTGTCCATTAGTGCTGGCTATCAGTGCAGCCTCATCAACGCACATCAGTGAAGGAGAAAAATTACCGGTTTGCAACATTTTATAATAGAAAGAAAGAAAAACTTTTTTTTTCACATTTTTTGCTCTTTTTTTTTTTTTTTTTTTAATCACAAAAAATAAAACACCCAACGGTGAGTAAATACCACCAAAAGACAGCTCTATCTGTGTGAAAAAAATGATAAAAATGTCATATGGGTACAGTGTTGCATGACTGCGCAATTGTCATTCAAAGTGCAACAGTGCTGTAAGCTGAAAATTGGCCTGGGCACGAAGGTGGGGGGGGGGGGGGGGGGGAAGGGCCCGGTAGGTGAGGGGTTAAACATGTCCAGTAAA